CTCGTGTCCGATCAAATAAACACACAATGTGACTGAGGGAAGGATTAAAAGATAATTTGAACAGTAGCCAATGAGGCGGCCCAAATTAGTAAGTGATGTGATTTTGAATGACAGCGGAATGGTGACGTAAGGGGTGACATGAAACGAAATGAAATGAAATGAAATAGATCTTTTCTGATAAGGATATTGATCTTATTGTCTGTAAATTTCGTGTACGACTGTAGTTCCTGCCTGTCTGCTGGGCACGTTAACCCACAAAATTGACCTGCATGCATTGCTGCCTGTACCGATCCCTTTCTATTTCTATTTCTATTTTTTATTTTACTCTCTCGTCTCACTTACCGCGTCTGCTACACTGTAAATACAGTATTTTAACAAGAGTGTAATTAGTAGATAATTAAAAATATATTAGTGAAAATAATTATCCGATAATATAAATAATTATAAATTAAGATTAAAATAACTAATTAGTTTAATTAAAATTTTAAAAAAAAAATAAAATTAAAAAGTTTAAAATGAAATTAAAATGTGTAATTATTTTCGAAAAAGGAAAATGATATAGTATGTGGGACGGACAGAAACGGCAATGTGGACATAGTATGTGGGACGGAGGGAGTATAGTTTATATTTATTGAATGTTATACATAGTTACTTTGTCTATAATTAATAAAAAAATTTAAGAATATATTAATTAAAATAATTTTAGTTTAATATAAATAATTATAAATTAAAATTAAAATAATTAAGTAATTTAATTACAATTAAAAGATATAAATTATAAAATTCAAAATATAATTAAAATGTATAATTATTTTTTCGAAAAATAAAAGACAAATTATGCTACACGGATCGAAATAAAACTACTAATACTTTATGTATGATAGAAAGAGTAAATATTATCTCTGTTATAAAAATATACATATAGATTTATTTAATTTTTACATAAGTTTTAATATGATTTGTATATTTTGTTCTTTAATACTTTTATAATAAAAGAAGTTGAAAATGTAGTATCAAAATAGATAAAATAATATTTTCTTCGTCTCTATTTGAAAGAGATTTTTAGGGTTTTGTAGCAAATTAAAAAATAATACTAATATTTTATTGATTAGTAGTAAAAGTGTGTAATAAATTTTGACTTTTTTGCCCTTTGATTTTATGTAAAAAATAGGTGTGTGTAATTGTATATTTGTAATTTAAATAAAGATTAATGATATTTTAATATTAGTATATGATTACTTTTATTTTTTATTTTTTAAAATGAATGCTTTTGAGTGTAACAAATAAAAATTAAAAAAATTAAAAAAAAATTTAATTAAGACATCGAGGGGAATATATATAGTGAGATTATTTTTTAATAACATAAAATATTACTTTCTCCATCTCAAACACCCTGCAACATTTTTTTTTTGGTATATCCCAAACAATCTGCAATATCTTCAAAATAGGAAATAATTAATTATACTTAATATTTACCCCACCCTTAATCCCCTCACATCATCCAAATAAAAAAATAAAATATATATTTCTTTCCATCACATCACTTAGTTTTTAAATTATCCTACTTAATACTATCCATCTAAAAATTCCGTACTAAAAGCAAATGTTGCACCTTGTTTGAAACGGAGAGAGTACGTTCGCTCATTCTCTAAAAATACATTCAAACTTTTGGGCACAAGTTTAATACTATATCTATAAAAATAAAAAATAAAAAAAAAAAAAAAAAAAGCATTAGTATATATATTTACTAAATAAAGAAATATAAATATCTTTAAATGACAATAAATAATAAAAATCAATGTATTTTTAAAAAACAAAAGAAGTACTTTTCTTTCACAAATATATATATATATATTCCTATGAGTAAATAGCAATTTTAGTAAATATCCTATTTTCGTCAAACATGTGTAATCATTTAAATTATCTCATATAAATAGTCATTTTATTTATAATACAAACTCAAGGATATTAAATCCATTGGACATAAGGTTATTTTAGATTTTCTTCCTTTTATTTTATACAACTCATTTACCAATATAATACTCACTTTGTCCACTGTTTATCTATCTATTTTGTCATATGCCCAGAATGATACGCATCATTAATATTTCATTCGTCCGTTTCTAAAAGTTACATTTACCTTTTATGTCATTGTATTTGACATTAAAAATATTATTATATTTTTATTATTTTTGTGTACAAATGTCATTATATTAGTATTATAAGACATTAATAGAATTAATTTTGTTATTTTTTTTTAATTTGTACTATATTTTGATATAGTTATTATCATTCAAAGATTAACACGTAAAAAGTAAATGTAGTCCTTGGAACCGAAAGAAGATAATATATTTATTCAAAAAATAAAAGTCTCTAACACGCCCCCTTAAATGTAAGCAGGATCGGCCTTGTGCATGGGCCACTCGAGCCCAGCCCAGGCCCCAAAAATTGGGCTCCTCTGGGTCCATTTTTATAATATATATTTATATATATATAACAAAATTTACAAATATATGTATAATATCAAAAATATATATTAAAATTTGCTTGTTTATATTTAAAGTTAATTTATTTTATTTTTTATTCAAATATATTTTAATATAATATTTTATAGTATATAAAAGATATATGTATTTTTATTGACAATATAACCAAATAAACTCAAAAAAGTTTAAATAATAAAATAAATAATTAAACATAATTATATATAATAAAATATTTATAGGACCTATATTTTATTTTTGTCTGGGATCTAAGCAAATGAGAACAGTCGAGACTCGAACTCAAGACCTAAAGCTTCGATATCATATTAAATAATGTAGATGACCGTCTCAGTAAAAAATTTAAGACAGTCATTCTACGCAATCCAACATATGGCCTTAGCCTAAGTTAGTTTTCCAGGGCCATATTACACATTTCATCTTTTTTTAATTCAAATTTAATATATTAGTATTTTGTTGATACACAGTTCAATAGAATAATTAATTTTTTTTTCTTTTAATCCTGTTAACCAGTTTGTTTGTTTTTTTTTAATGGATTTTTATGGTATTCTTGTAATATTGGGTCAAAGTTTATTAGTAACTGATTTATTTATTTATTTAAATGAGAAGTATAATGACTAAAAATAAATATATTGATTTTGAATATACAGATATGATAAAATAGCAAAATGAATCTGAATATTGGACTAAAGAAATACTTTTTCTTTTTTCTTTCTAAAACTTACTACAAAAATATTTTGAAACAATAAATATGTGACGAAGGTAGTAAGTATATAATATTAAAATAAAAGAAGCTGATTGTAACATAGAATGTCAGCGCCGTAAGAAAAATGCACGTGTAAGATAAAATATACTTCCTCCGTCTCATAATAAAGTATTCATTTTTTTATTTTAGTCTATCTCATAATAAAGTATCCATTTCTTTTTTTAATAACTGTACTATGTACCTGACATTACAAATATCATTACAACTTACAATATATTACACAAACGTCATTACTTTATATCACACATATTAATAAGGTTATTTTAGTCATTTCTACTTTATTCTTACTATATTCCAATATAATACTAATATTTCTAAAACTACGTAAAAAAAACAAATGAATACTTAGTTCCGGGACGAATGGAGTATAAATAATAACGATGATAGTGAAAAATTATAATAACTACAAAATTAAAGAGTATGTAAGAATACTTTTAATACAATTATTTTGTTTTATTTTATTTTTTAATGTCTGCTAGGCCGAAAGGGCTTTTGCAGTTCGCAGCACATTAAATTTAGCCAAATGGAGTCATAATGCGTAGGGCCACAAAGCCCATTTGTATAGGATCCACTTTAGCTCGATTAATTAGATTTGTTTATTCAATCTATTTTTTTACGACATGATTCCTTATAAATATTATAAAAAAATAATATATATATATTAATATAATATATATTTTATTTATTTATAAAAAATCAATAATTCAATACAAAATATATTTTATATTATCGACTTAATTTTCTATATCAAACATAAAAAAACACATTCATAAAAAAATAATAATAATAAAAAAAAATACAAAATAAGCATACCCAATGTCTTCTCTAGAAAAGAATGTTACAATTTTTACTATAGTATAATATATTTCATCCATCTAGAATCAATTTATCTATTTTCATATATTGATTCGTCTGAAATTAATTTATTCATTTTCTTTTGAATAATTGTACTTTTAATATAATTTTTTTTGAAAAAAATTATATTTTATATATTATTATAACAATCTCATCAATTTATCTATAAATATTATTCTTTGTATCATATAAAAATTATGATCACTTTTTTCGAGGTATGTCATTTGAAATTATTATAATTTTATTTTTTAGTAAAAAATTATATATATACTATAAAAATAATAAAAAATGCACACCACATTAAAATTTATATCAAAAGTTTTGAACTTTTTTTTTTTAATGATGGAAGGAGTATTAAATTTTTAGGTATGCAACTTTTCATTTAGTCTCCTAAATTTGTGGAAAAATTATGAAGTTATATAATACCAAAATAAGGAAATACAAGAGTATATATATTAGTGGATTCGAGCATAAACTAAGATAGATAGTATCAAATAATATAAAAAAGATATCTAAATCTAATAAGAGGATATCTAAATCTAACACCCCATTAAACTCAAAATGAGACTGTAGAAACCAACTTGAGTTTGTCCAAGAGCAATCGGAAGCGGTTAGAGAGAAGAAACTTGGTGAAGATATCTGCTGTCTGATCTGCAGAAGATACCGCGAGATGAACTCCTCCATTGATAAGATGCTGCAGAATGAAGTGACAGTCAAGCTCAATATGCTTGTTGTGCTCATTATGGGTCATCTTTATAGCACTCTAACTATTGCAGTGAAGAGCCGTAGAAAATGGCTGAAGGGCATCAAGGTCAGTGAGTAGTCGACGAAGCCATAAAAGTTCTGATGTAGAGTGAGCAAGAGCACGATACTCTGACTCAACACTTGATCGAGAAACCAAAGTTTGCTTTTTGCTGCGCGAAGAAATGAGAGAACGACGATCGGTACGGTCCCCCAGCCCAATTAGCATCAGAATAACTACTTAGTGCCAAAGAGGAGTGAGATGAAAAATGTAATCCATGCAGAAGAGTACCTTTCACATAGCGAAGAATATGTAAGACGACAGAGTAGTGTGAGGTCCTCGGAAAAACCATGAACTGACTCACAATATGCACTGCATGAGCAATATCAAGTCTAGTAATAGCCAAATAGATTAAACTCCCAACAAACTGACGAAATAGGGTAGAATCATCAAGGAGAAAGCCATCGTGAGGTGTAACTCGAACGTTATAGGCAAGTGGTGTAGAGGCTACCTGACAGTATGTGAGACCAGCTCGAGAAATAAGATCAAAGACATATTTAGCTTGAAACAAATAGAAACTATCGGGAAAATCAGAAACTTCAAGTCTCAAAATATAGCGAATGGGACCCAAGATCTTCATATCAAATTGTTGATTAAGATATGTCTGTAGATCAGAAATTCCAGATGCATCATTTCTCGTGATGATCATATCAACATAAAGTAAGAGGATAACTATCCCTAAGAAAGAACGACGAAAAAATAATTCGGAATCGTAGGCGCATATGGTAAAACCAAACTCCAATAGGGCAGAGCTAAATGGGCCATACCAGGCCCTAAGGGCCTACTTCAACCTATATAAAGCACGATGTAAGGGACAAAACTTTCCAAAAGACGGGAAACCTGGAGAAGAAGTCATATAAACTTCTTCAGACAAAGTGTCATGTAAGAATTCATTCTTGACATATAACTGAAGAAAAGACCATTGACGAATAACAACAACAACAAGAAAACAACGAACAGTAGTGAGACGAGCAACATAGGCAAAAGTCTTTTCATAGTCAACTTCATATTTTTTAGAATAACCCTTAGCCATCAAACGCACCTTGTAGTGCTCAACGGAACTATGAGAAATAGTATTGATTTTGAAAATCCACTTGCACCAAATAGGTGTTTTGCCAGAAAGCAAATCTACTAAATCCCAAGTATGCAATTTTCAGTCATAGCTTGCTGCCACAATGGATCAGCACTCGCCTCACGAAATGACCTAGACTCATGATGAGATAATATGACAGAGAGTAACAATGATATCACGCAAATAAGTAAGAGGGTGACTTGCTCGATGTGATCGATGAGGTATGACATCAGTGAGGGTGACATATAAAATACTATCTTTGCCCCGGATGAATGTATACTTTTGTATTTTTATAGTTATTAAAAAATAATGTATTTATTAATTGGTAAAAATATGTAAGATAATTTTGATATTTTTGTCATTTAAACTTTATGTATATATGTAACGGTATGTTTGTAATTTATGTAAAAACTAAATTATTTTGTAATAGTATGTTATTACTATTACTATACTATGAAAGAGATATATTTGAGTAAGAAAAACAAATATAATAATAATATTTTTAGTTAAAAATGATTAAATATTAATATTTTAAAATTTATGTGTAAAAAGTACATGAATAAATGCTTACCCAACGAATCGGAAATATTTAAAAAACAAAAATAAAAAAAAAAACGAACAAACATTATATGAATATTTGTTTGTTTTTCAACATATATACTATTTTCGTCCGGCTTGAAGGGTCCATTTACTTTTTGCGTGTTGATATTTGAATATTAGTTATTGTTGGGAAAGTGATTTATCGAACAAAACACATTCAAACGCTTTAAAGGGTCAACTTCCTAAGTGTGGGCGGTTCACAGTTATAACAACGTTTTAACAACGAAAGACAATGCATAACATAAAACAATAATGAGACAAGGTGTTTGTTAACCTGGTGCGATTATCAACCAATTTACATCCGAATATACCAATCCAGAAGGTATTCCACTAATCAGTGTTGATTAAGGACATAAACAACCACAACTCCTTCAACTCAAAAAGTTATCATGGTTAGCCTAGGAAAATATCTCCACAAGTTCACGTTGTCACAAACGCGTACTGACAATGATCATACAACAAAGCAGCTCAGAGTTTGATCATCCTCTCCGGTTGGAACTCCATTATCCGATCTCCGTCAACCTCTCCGATGGATTTCAATGTTAAACAACAATTCAAAACATTGGGAAAATAAGGAGAAGGGTGAGAGCACACACAATAATTTCTCTCTCTATATTTTGGCTCTCAAACCTCACTCACCACCAAACATTTTCTCCTTTGGTTGTCTATATCATGCAACCTTAGAAAGAACACATCTCACATTAATGTTCCTTAACGTAGAAAATGATAGAGTGTCCTTCAATGAATCTGCACGAGTCTGACAATTTCCAAACTGTCATGTTTGACTCTTGTGGGCATTTAAAAGATTAAACACAATGAATAAAATCAAGCCCACAAAATTAGACTGCAGCAGGATTGCAGAGACAGCCTTTCTGCAACATCAGACTACTGAAAAAGGAAAACTTGCTGCAGGAAAATGAAAAGCATATTTGTCCATATGCAAAAAATAACAAATGGTTTCTTTCATTCATAGTTATTATATCAAAACATAATATAAATTAAGAAAAAATTGTAAAAAAAATTATACAAATATAAGAAGATTTTTAATGTTAAATACAGCGATGCAAAAATAAATGTGACCTTTGAAGCGGATAAAAGAAATATAATTTAAGAAACTAGCTTATTTTTTATATCCCAAATTAACATTCCAATTTGTTACATTTTGTTTTGTATTTCAAACTCAAAATTATACTATTGGTCGGAATGATTTTTAATAAAAATATTATATAAAAATACTATTTAAATAAAAATTCAAATAAATATATTTAAAAATTTGAATAATAAAATTTTGAATTAAAATAATCGTTTGATGTGATACTTTAAATATAAAATTAAATTTTAATATAATATAATAAATAAGTTAAATATTAATTTAATATTTTTTTAGAAAAATTTATTTTATCATAAAAAAAATGGCAAAATAATGTAAACATTATATAAAGTGAACAGAACTATTTTTGCATTATACTTATAACGTAAAAATCAATTAATTAAATTTAATTAATTCTACTATTATTTTAGCAAGTCATTATTATGTTTCGCTTATGCAATTAAAAGGTAGATACGTAAATTACCACCAAATTTAATCCCATTTAAATTTTTATAATTGCATTAATTATTTTTACGTGTTTTTATTTATGAAAAAATCACAATTAAGCCCATCCTTATAAATTTTATTTATTTATTTATTTTAAGTTATTTGTATCTTGTTGACCAATTAAATAATCTCTAGAAATTTTTTATATTATTGTGATTCAATTTCTATTGTTTTTATAAATAAAAAATCGATTTTATTAATTTATTTTTCGTATACGTCTAATTATCCAATCAATTTATATTATGTTAGTAGATAAGTTACGAAAATAAAAGTTAGTGTGCTGACTCTATAAATATACAAATAAAAATATTTTTAAAAAATATTACTTTCTCCCTCTCCCTCCCTCCGTTCCATAACAAATTATCTATTTTTTTATTTTAATTTGTCTCATAACAAAGTATCTATTTCTTTTTTAGTAATTGTACTATCTACCTAACCTTACAAATACTCTTACAACTTACAATATATTACACAAATATCATTATCTTTATATCACACCTTACTAATAAAGTTATTTTAGTCATTTTTATTTTATTCTTACTACATTCCAATATAGGTGTTGGGATGGAATAAGTGCAACCCCGATAAATTCTTGTACACTTATCCAAATGGGCCAACTCCCGAAGCGTGGTAAAATCACAGTTGTAACATTATCTTGTCAACGAAATAAGGGCAAAATCCAAAGCAATAAAAGACAAGATATTTGGTAACCCGGTTCGGTTATAACCAACCTACATCCGGGGGATTCCAATCCAGGAGAAGTTCACTAATCAAGGTTGATTATGAACTAAACAGCCCAAAACTCCTTTATCCCATACTATAACGCAAACCACCTAGGAAAATCCCTCCACAGGTATAAGTTGTCACGAACTCGTACTGACAACTAGCAAATAGCAGGGTTGCTCAGACTTTGGACGAATCTCCTGATCGGATTTCCAATCTCTTCTTCCTCCGACGATGTCTCCGGCAAGTAAATGTGTCAAGCACTCTTTCAATGCATGGAGAAGGGAAGGGTTGGGGTTGAGAGGATTTAACTTACTTTCTCTCACAACAGTTCACTCTCTCTAACCTATGCAACAACCACAATACTTCCCACAAAACAAAACAAGAAGCAGCCAAACAAAGCATACAGGACAAACTCAATTAAAACCCTTTGCACGAAAGTGGAATGATGTAATCCTGCATGAACTCTGTCAAAGGTTGACCACCCAAAAATTCATTCTTTTTGTCTCTTCTAAGGTTCCCAAATCGAGAAGAGTAGACCAGCAGAGTTGCAGGCAGTCTGTTGAAATGACCTGAATGGAAACAGAAAAAGGCAGCAGGGGAAAAGCAAGAAGAACCATATGCCAAAAATAAGTTGGAGAAAAATATTGTTCCAACATTCTCCCCCTTTTTGGCATATGGGACTTCGCCCAATGTGCAGGAGAATCACTCCCACACCAAGCCAAACAATCCAAACAACCAACAGTAAGTTATCAATTTGTTACAGGCCAGCAGAAAACAAACACAGGCTACAGGCAGCCTGGCGAATGGAATGAAATAGTCAGCAACAGGAAACAGTAGCAAAGCCGTAAACACACAAACACCATGTACATCTCATGCACATCTCTCCCCCTCGAGAGCAGATGCCAAAAAGGGATGGACGAGCAGATCAGAGAAGCGAAGGGTCCTCCCCTTCATCAGCAAGAACAGAACCAATCTTCGGCATGAGGTTGACCGCACGGATGATTTTCTGACGATGCTCACCCAGAGTGATGCGGATGGCCGCTTGTTCTTGCACCACTTCTTGAAGAATTCGTCGGGCTTCAAGAAGCTGTTCGGTCGCATTTCGGGGGATGTCGTCAGTAATGTCGTTGTGCAGACTGAGAATATTCGGTTTGGGCTGAAACACCTCCAGGTTGATGACGTCTTCGGCAGAATCCGGAACAATGCCGTTCTTTTTCAACAACAGTGTGATCAAGGCAGGATACGGTAGGTTCGTACCTTCCGTTTTTTGACCGCGAGAGAACTTGACCATTTTTGACATCACAATAAAACCAAAGTTAATGTTAGGACAAAAGCGATCAATGGAATACATTAGTTTACCCATTTCAGAACCAATAGTGGTTCCATTGCTGGTTGGAAGAATGTTTTTGGAGCAGAGACGGAAAAGACATTGAAATCTCAGTGAAAGCTCAGAGGCACTGAGTCCTTTTCTACCAAAGTCCACTGACTTGCGTGAGGACAGGAACAGGGCAACATCTTTCGTGGAGTCTTTCAGAAGATCAGAGGGAAGCTCTTCAGGATTGTCAAGAGGGAGCTTTAACAGCTTGTTGATGACCCGCGGGCTTAGCTCAAAAACCTTGCCACGCACATAAGCTTTATGAAACCAGGGAGAGTCTTGATCTAAGACATGAGCAGAAAGGTTAGCGTAAAACTCCTTGACCAATTTTGGACAGTACTTCCGCAGTTTGACAGCCCAGTGAAACAGTCCTTTCCGGCGCAGGTAATCGGAAAAACCAACCTCCACATGCTCATTGCTCGTGAATTTCTTTTCAATCACAAATTTTCGGTCGGCGAGAATGTCGTACTCAAACACTTCAGCAAGATCATCAAAGTGTATAGTATCCATAGCTTGTTGTGCAGTAATGGAATGAGATCCGAGAGCCTTTTGACGAGTTTTGGACTTGTTCCCTTTTATGACTTTCTTTGAAAAAGATCGTTTGAGCCGTTTTCGAAAAGACCCGGGAACACCAGCAGACGACTTCCTCTTTCTGGAGGGTTG